GGGTTTAGGGTTTAGGGTTTAGGGGTTTAGGGTTTAGGGTTTAGGGCTTAGGGTTTAGGGTTTAGGGTTTAGGGTTTAGGGTTTAGGGTTTAGGGTTTAGGGTTTAGGGTTTAGGGTTTAGGGTTTAGGGTTTAGGGTTTAGGGTTTAGGGTTTAGGGTTTAGGGTTTAGGGTTTAGGGTTTAGGGTTTAGGGTTTAGGGTTTAGGGTTTAGGGTTTAGGGTTTAGGGTTTAGGTTTAGGGTTTAGGGGGTTTAGGGTTTAGGGTTTAGGGTTTAGGGTTTAGGGTTTAGGGTTTAGGGTTTAGGGCTTAGGGCTTAGGGTTTAGGGTTTAGGGTTTAGGGTTTAGGGTTTAGGGTTTGCTCACTGAAGCGACGCGCCTCGACCCAAGGGGTCGTGGGCGGCGCGTCGCGCGAAAGCTAAGACCCCACCCCAAGACCACACAAACCTTACTCTGTTAGGGTTTAGGGTTTTTTTTTGGGATAGTTCTCTCGTTGCTTCGTATTCTCTGCTGTAGTCGATATTTTAATTAAAATCAAAACTACAAGTAAAGCAAAGCAAAGGGCAACAGTATGCTTATACGTTGTGTTTTTACGCCCGAGCAGGCCAGGACGGAGGGTCTCAAAACCGCGCTCGGGGCCACGGTGCCATCGCCCGCTGATTTTACCCCAAAAGGGCCAAGAGAGGTCTTTACGCCCGAGCAGGCCAGGACGGAGGGTCCCAAATTCGCGCGCGGCTGTCGCTGCGCTCTGTGGCACCGCAGAACGTTTCTCGTTCTCTCGTTGCTTTTGTGTTCTCTGCCGTAGTTGATAACATTGTGCTTTTATATCTTGACACCCGAGCAGACCCGGAAGTCCCAAAATCGCCCTCGGGGCCGCAGCGCCATCGCAAGAATGCGGTTTTTTGGTATGGTTTTGGGCACCCCCTCCATTTTGCCCCAAAAGGGCCAAGAAAGGCCCAGAAAGCTGGCCCGCAATGAAAAGTGCGACTTTTTGGTATTGTAATCGATGGTTTTGGGCACCCCTCCATTAGGGCCAGAAAGCCTCCAAGAGGCCGCAAGAGCCACCAAAAGGCTTCAAAAAATCAAAGGGCCAGGAAAGCCCCAGCAAGGCCCCAAGAGGCCCCAAGAGCCACCAAAAGCCTTCAAAAGGCTTTCAAAGGCCGGAGCCACCAAAATGCCTCAAAAGGCTTCAAAAAGCCTTCTAAAAGAGGGCGACCCCAGGATCTGCCCTGGCGTGAAATGAAAAATGCTATTTTTTAGTATTGAAATCGATGGTTTTTGGCACCCCTCCGATTTTACCCCAAAAAGGGCCAGGAAAGCATCGGAAAGCCCGCAAGAAGCCTCAAGAGCCACTAAAAAGCTGAGCCAGCAAAAGGCATGAAAGGGCCGCAAAAAGAGGGTTTGTTTTTTTGGGATAGTTCTCTCGTTGCTTTGTGTTCTCTGCTGTAGTTGATATTTTGGTATGAATCAAACGACAAGTAAAGCAGAGGGCAACAGTACTGTATGCTTCTATGTTGTGTCTTTATGCCCGAACAGGCCAGGAAGGAGGCCAAGGCGCCATCGCTCGCTGTCGCTGCGCTCTGCGGCGCCGCTGTGCGCAAGAACGTTTCTCGTTCTCTCGTTGCTTTTGTGTTTTCTGCTGTAGTTGATAACATTGTGCTTTTATGACGTATCTTGACACCCGAGCAGACCCGGAAGGAGGGTCCCAAAATCGCGCACCGGGCCGCGGCGGCATCGCTCGCTGTCGCTGCGTGCGATTTCTTAATACTGAACTTGATGGTTTTGGGCACCCCCAGAAAGCCCTCAAGAGGATGCAAAAAGGCTTGAAAAGGCTTCAAAAAAGCTCTCGAGGGGGAGCCCTGGCCCGCAATAAAAGTGCGATTTTTTGGGGACCCCTCCATTTTACCCCAAGAGAGAGCCAGGAAAGCAGCTTGAAAAGGACTCAAAAAGCCCTCTAAAAGAGGGGGGACCCCAGGATCTGCCCTGGCCCGCAATGAAAAGGGAGATTTTTTTGTACTAAAATCGATGGTTTTGGGCACCTTTCCATTTTACCCGAAAAGGGCCAGGAAAGCCCCAGAAAGCCCCGAGGGTTCAAGGAGCCACCAAAAGGCGTCAAAAAACCCCTTGAAAAGAGGGGACGCTCCATTTTAATTACCCCAAAAAGGCTCCCAAAAAGGCCCAGAAAGGTGTTCTTGAAGGCAAACTTTCCTTTCAAGGGGGGGTCGGATTTTTAAGCAAGGGGTATCCAAGTACTAGTTTGCTTTGAAAATCCCCCCCCTTGACTGAAAAGGTCGCGGGGATCCTGAAAAGGCTTTTCGAAGCCTCTGGATGCCTCCGGACGCTCCCGGACACCAGGGCCCGGAAGCCTAAATCCTAAATCCTAAATCCTAATGGGGGGAGCCCAGAAACTGTCAGGGAGGAGCCCAAAAAGGCTCAGAAACTCAGAAGCTGTCCGGGAGAAGCCCAAAAAGGCTCAGAAACTGTCCGGGAGGAGCCTTAAAAAGCCCAGAAACTGTCCCGGAATAGCCCAAAAAGGCTCAGTTTCACAAAATGGTCCGGGAGGAACCCTAAATCCTAAATCCTAAATCCTAAATCCTAAATCCTAAATCCTAAATCCTAAATCCTAAATCCTAAATCCTAATTTTTAGAAGGGGAAGGAAGGAGGGTCTAGGCTTTAGGGTAATAAAATATGCTTTAGGGCTTTACGCCCTGTTCCCTCTTTCAAAGCTGTGAGGAGTGCGTTACGGTGCCAGAAGCTAACTCTTCTGGCACTGAAGAGAGCATCTGCCTCCAACTGCTAGACTGTCGCTACTCAGTTGTCGGCTGCCGTCGCTAGAGGCTCGGCGGGCTCGCTGCGGCCCGCTGCCTTGCCGGCAGCTAATCAGGGGCCTTGCTCGCAGTTTAGGGTTTAGGGTTTAGGGTTTAGGGTTTAGGGTTTAGGGTTTAGGGTTTAGGGTTTAGGGTTTAGGGTTTAGGGCTTAGGGCTTAGGGTTTAGGGTTTAGGGTTTAGGGTTTAGGGTGTGTAGAAGGGAAGCTCGCTGGTGCTAAAAGCGCCCGGGCCGCTCGCTTGCGTTAGCATGTAGTCCCACCCCAACCACCCAAACTATTCTCATTTAGGGTTTAGGGTTCACCCCCCAAACCCCCCTCAAGGGGGGCTTTCTTGCTTTTTGCAGAGAAAGAGCAGGGTGGGGCCTCCCGAACTTCATGGAGCCTGTCACAACCTCGTAGGCTTCTTGGAGCTTTCACGGAGTAAAATGGAAGGTGCCCAAAACCGTCGATTGCAATACTAAAAAAACCCACATTTTCATTACGGGTCTGGGCAAAGCCTGGATCTCGGGGCCAAAAGGGCAGCAAAACGGGTAGCAGGGGCCTCGGCCGGCCCCTGCAAAAATCCATAGGAGGTTTGAGGGGTCTCAGAGAGGGTTTCAGGCGGTTTGCCGGGTCAGAGAAGGGTGCGTTTTTCGGTTTTTTGCGCTCCTTGTTGGGCAAATGCTTTCCTGGACCCGGCCAGAAGGGGGGGTCCCTGGAATCTGCCACCCTAGGCCTGCGGCGTAACCAGGCACAGCAGGCCCCGTCTACCGGGAGGCTTTACCCTCCCTCACCGTTCTGTGGAGACGCTCGGTCACGCCCATGTAAATGGACAGCGGCGCTCTCGGCAGTTTAGGGTTTAGGGTTTAGGGTTTAGGGTTTAGGGTTTAGGGTTTAGGGTTTAGGTTTAGGGTTTCGGGTTTCGGGTTTCGGGTTTAGGGTTTAGGGTTTAGGGTTTAGGGTTTAGGGTTTAGGGTTTAGGGTTCAGCATCTCAAGTCCGAGCATTCACTAGTCAAGCAGCTTGTCAAGCGTTGGAAAAAAAAAAAACACCCACCCAAGAAACCCATAACATTGAGAAAATACAAAGTTCACTCAATATATTCCCAGTAGTTAGTTTTTAACGGACCCAAAACCCGAAATCTAATCTAAGGCCCACAATAGGCCCTTTATGCTCTTAGGGCCTTAAACCCTACGGTTTAGAAGCCCCTATCGGTGAAGGCTCGGTTTTGGTCAAAAACCCAAAAAACGATAGGCCGCCCAGAACCGTCGATTTCAGTACTGAAAAATCGCATGTTTAACTGGGATTCGGGCCGATCCTGCGGTCCCCCTCATTGGGGTGTTTTTGGAGGCAAACTTTCCCTCTCAAGGGGGGGTCGGAGTTTGAGGCAAGGGGGGTCTCCGAAGACTACTTTGCCTTTAAAATCGAAAAACACGACCCCCCCTTGACCAAAACTAGGCTGTGAAAAGGTCGCGGGGCGGCCCTTCATCAGAATTGAGGGTTAAAAACCCTGAAACATCCTGAAAAACATTGAAAAACCTTGAAAAACACTGAAAAACTTTGAAAAACCTTGAAAAACTCCGGGAAAGGGAAATTCACCATTGCCTGCCCACTTTTGACGCCAGGAAAGTCACCGTTGCCCACTTTTGAGGCCAGGAAACTCACCGTTGCCCACTTTGAAGCCAGGAAAGTCACCGTTGCCCACTGTTGAGGCCAGGAAACTCACCGTTGCACACTTTTGAGGCCAGGAAACTAACTCACCGTTGCCCACTTTTGAGGCCAGGAAGTCACCGTTGCCCACTTTTGAGGCCAAGAAAGTCACCGTTGCCCACTTTTGAGGCCAGGAAAGTCACCGTTGCCCACTTTTGAGGCCAGGAAAGTCACCGTTGCCCACTTTTCAGGCCAGAAAAGTCACCGTTGCCCACTTTTCAGGCCAGGAAAGTCACCGTTGCCCACTTTTGAGGCCAGGAAAGTCACCGTTGCCCACCTTTGAGGCCGAAAATCACCGTTGCCCACTTTTGAATTAGGGTTTAAATTCGTTATGATAGAGAGGTTTAGGGTTTAGGGTTTAAGGGTTAGGGTTTAGGGTTTAGGGTTTAGGGTTTAGGGTTTAGGGTTTAGGGTTTAGGGTTTAGGGTTTAGGGTTTAGGGTTTAGGGTTTGGGGCAACTTGAGAGTTTAGGGCAACTTTGGGGTTTAAGGTTCAGGGTTGAGGGGCCTGTCCTCTTCGCTCGAAGCGTGGCAGTTCGCGACTTGCAAGAACTCAATCTGGGGGCCCCCAAACGGACACCAGGTATCTACACCAATCTTGAAAAGGGACCTTACATACACTCACCAAGAACAGTAATATAAACCCTGTTTCATGTCCATTTCCAGCAGAGGGCGGGGAGGGGGGGGGGACCATAATGCTGATGCTGCCATGCTTGAAGGAGCCCCTCCCAACCTTATCGCCAAGTTGTAAGGCGATGTCAAAGGAGGTGCAGCCGTCGTCTCCAATGACACCGACGTCAGTCGCGAAGACGAGCTCCAACTGAAGCTGCTTGGAGAGTAGGAACTCGAACAGGCACCAGACTCCTCGGCAACTCTTTAGGGTTTAGGGTTTGGGGTTCAGGGTTTAGGGTTTAGGGTTTGGGGTTTGGGGTTTAGGGTTTAGGGATTAGGGTTTAGGGTTTAGGCTTCGGGGTTTTGGGTTTAGGGTTTAGGGTTTAGGGTTTAGGGTTTAGGGTTTAGGGATACAGGGGGGCTAGAAGGAACCTTTACGCATCAACACAATTGGGCACCCCAAAGACCATAGTGTAGAAATCTGACCGAAACCCATCTGATGAAGCAGCCCCCGCACGTGCAGCACGTATATGCTAGCAAAGTCAGCTACCCAATTACACCACCCAACACCCCAAAGAGTCAAAGGCACGTCAAAGAAACAGTGGGGGACGACGGGAGACAAAGGGAGACGAAGGGAGACAAAGGGAGGCGAGGAGCACAGCAACCCGGCAAAGCCACACATGAAGGGAGACAAAGGGAGACAAAGTGAGACAAAGGGAGACAAAGGGAGACGAAGGGAGAAGGGAGACAAAGGGAGACAAAGGGAGACAAAGGGAGAAAAAGGGAGACAAGGAGCCCAGGAACCCGGCAACAGTCCTCAGAATGTCGGCAATCCTTATATGATTTTAGAACCCCAACAGTAGACTGATTGGGGAAATACCCCTAAGGGGCCTTTGGTTTCAGTTAGGAGTCTCATAGGAGTTCGCGTCAGAAGATAACATCCACCCCTTCCCCCCTGACCAAAAACCATCTCCATCGAGGTGTAGGGTTTATAAGGCTTAAGGACATACGCACGACTATGTAGAAGATTCTGCACATGAAAGCCGAGGTGCGCGTCAGCGGCTGCACCTCATGATCCAAAACCATAGCGACTCCCTTGATGCCGCCTCGCAGGGTCCGAGCGAAGGCACTTTCCATGATGGTGCTTCCCAGCCTGAGGCGATTCTGCGAGTCAGACCTTCCCTCTGTGATCTTGCCACGGGCGTTTTGCTACAAGAAGGCATTCATCCTTATGCACTCCAAACATTGACAAAGTCCCTTTATGAGGGCTGCCAGGAAGGGACCTCAAAATTACGGAAGCTCCCCATCTCCTGCTGCGGTCGTGGGGCTCACCCTCGATGTCCCACTGGTTGTTCGCGAAAGAGCAAATCCAGTAGCTTGCGCCCATCCACAATTGCCTAGGTCGGCCCACTGCTAACCCCAAAACCCTGAACCCTAACCCCAATCTCCTAAACATGATCTTCTTCTCTTAAACCCAGCAATATGTCCTATCCGACGGGTCCAAAGGGGCTACCTAGACACTACGACCCTAGACCCCGAATGCCTAAACCCCTAAACCTATGTATCCAAAAACGCTCCCTACGCCCTAAACCCGAATCCCTAAACCCTAAACGCTGCCTAGCGGCCCTTCTGCAGACAATGCGTGGCAGTGAATGGAGCGGGCGAAATGGGCAAAGCTGGTCCCCCAAGAGTGGGAGACGAAATACGACACCTGCCCACAACATGTCGAGAGCTTAGGGTTTAGGGTTGAGGGTTTAGGGGCTAGGATTGAGGGTGTTCAGAGGGACAAGCTCCTCAATCCTGAACCCTAAGCCCCAGGCCCCAAGCCGCCAAAATTTGTACAAGAACCGCAAAACCCTAAACCCTAAACCAGCCCTGAACAGCAAACCGCATGCTCCTCCAAACCTTCATCACCTCAAAACCCTAAACCCCAAACCCTAAACCCTAACCCCAAACGCGACAAGCCCGACCTCTCGGCCGCCCCACAGAGACACGAAGGACACCTCAGTGGGGCTAAGAGCGTACGGCTTCTGCGATGACAGTCTGTTTTTTCCGGGGCTTGGGGAGATTTAGGTTTTAGGGCTTAGGGTTTTTCGGGTTTAGGGTTTAGGGTGCTTGGGGTTTAAGCTCTTGGGGCTTAGAGCCCCTGTATAAGAACGCGAAAACATAAACCCTACAGCCCGCGGGATTCGAGCTTAGGGTTCCTCAGTCTGGACGACCCACCTGCTGGCTGCGCGTGAGAGGTCGGACGATGTTGGCCACCACGAAGTGCATGTTGCCTAGACTCCAGAGTAACCCCGGAACAACAAGGGGGAGACTACTGACCCTAAACCCTAAACCCGAACTCCTAGATGCCCTCCAAAAACATCTTGAACCAAAACACAGGCTCCGCATCCGAGTTGCGGTCCAGCAAGATGAAGCTCTGGAAGTGGCCCCACAGCTCCCACAAAGTCAGGGCCAGTAGACCTGAGGCGTTTTCGGGCTCAGGGGGTTTAGGGGGTTTTCGGGGTTTCAGGAGGTTTAGGTAGGGGGTTTAGGGTTTAGGGTTTTAGGGGTTTAGGGGTTTTAGGGGTTTAGGGGGGCATAAGGAGTTTAGTCATCTTAAGCGCCGAGAAGCCCTGATTCTTGGGGTGGGCCGCATCCGGGCCCGGATGCTCTTCATGCTGGATCTGGCGCCGATACTCCTTAAGAACACAGTCCGTTGGGACGTTCCCCCTTAGACATACAGCCCTTCATAGGGATTCGAGTACGCCCTAGTATAATCGCCAGTAAGGAACTGATAGCATAAGGGGGGAACATCCACAACAATCAGACAGAAGGCCTATGGTGTAGGCTCCCTCAAGATAATCATGGGCCCCGAAAGATTCAAACAGGCTCCAGGGCTCCTCCAGAGCTTTGGTGAAGGGCGTTCGTTGATAGCGCTGCCGAATGATCCATGCCATCAAAGGGTACAACACCGCCAGCACGAGGAGGGATGGGAGGGCGCAGTATCCGGCAGTGACCAGAACGTGCGCCAGGCCGTTGCCTGACATGATTGCCTGAGCTCCGGCGGCCAGAAGACAAGAGAACCTGTTCCTACGTGAGGGCCTCAGATGACAGCTCGACCTGAAGCTCCAAAGCTGCAAAAGCTGCATTATGCTGCATTCTGAGTCCAGGGGCAACTTGTATGGCCACAGGCAGCAAGACAAGGAGGAACAAAGCTGCACAGAGGAGCAAGAAAAGGGGAGTGATCTCGGTGGCGTGCAGCGAGCCCACAGTGGAAGCGCAGTCGAAGGGCACACGCACCCCTTGAACTTCGACCTTGCTGCGCTCCACCCCACACACCTTGATTGCATTGGCCTTCAGGGTTTGCAGGCTTTAGAGGGGTGATTGGATTTACAGGGTCTACAGGCTTTGCAGGATCGACGGGCTTTACAGGGTTTATAGGGCTTACAGGGCTTATAGGGTTTACAGGGCCTGCAAGGTTTACAGGGTTCACAAGGTTTAGGGGCTTAGAGGTTCTGAGCTGGCCTTCTCCAGGTTGTAGTCCAGCCATTCCAAGCCCGTTCCCTGCGCCCGATAGATCACCCGCCGGTGCAGAAGCTGAGACAAGCGCTTGGGAAGATCCACCAGCGGGCCCTGGACCGAGATGACGAAGGACCTCTACTCCCCTTTAAGAACCTTAATAGACATGATGTTGTTAATTAATATTCATATCTCCTTTATGAACCTTGATAAGAATGATAATTTTAATGAATATTACTAGTAATATCCTCTTGGGAAACAAAAATACAAAAATAGCTCCCAAGGGGGATGTAGGGACCGGTCCATCTCATCGGGATCCTTGCCACCGGCTCTGCGCAACTTGCTCTGGATTCGCTGCGACTTTGCATCGACAACCACTAGGGGAGCGTAGAGGATCTGGAGAAACAGGAAAGCCAAAAGCGCACAGCTGGCTGTGGCCCCAAGAAGCACTGCAAACTGGGTGGTATCTTGAGGCCACAAGTGGCACACATCAGACCTGCCGTCGGACCAGGCATTGTACACCGCGCACTTGCGACAGGTGCCGTTCCAGAACTGCATGTGCGGTGGGCAGAATGAGCATGTGTGCAAGCTATCTTGAAGTGCAACAACGGGATGGTCAGCAAAGCGCTCGAGAGTCGTCTGATAGTTCGCGCAGGTGCATCGCAGGACCGTGTCATTCGCGACCGCCGCCGTAGTGGGGCAGGTCAGCCCTGGCGTGCTCAGTGCGCGCAGCTCGCTCGCGCTGGCGTTGAAGGCAACTCCCTGCGCGCATGATGGGCACGAAGCCTGCAGGGAATCCAACCCGAAACCCGCCCTAAACCCCTAAACCCGAAACCTCCGCAGCGGCTCCAACCATCCAACCCTAGACCCCAAGCCTCCAGGGAATCCACCGTGAAACCGACTTCGGTGGCCAGGACGAGGACTTCTCTCAGTGGTGGCGCGTAGTCGATGTGGACGTCTTCCACCGTTACATGGTCAGCCCGAGTGCTGAGCAAGGGGCTGGACCATGACTGGAGATGAATTCCTACGTGGTTCAGCAACCCCTGAGAAAAACAAAAAAAGTATGTTCTTGTTCGGGTTCTCTGTAGTTGGTGCTAGGAACAGAAACAAAACCAAGAAGGTAACACAGCGTACTGAACAGCCTCGCTTCCAGACAGGCGGACACGCTCGTGCAAGCAGGTTGCCATGGACAGGAAGCCCGAGCTCAACGAGCTCAACTCGCCACTGGCGTTCAAGAACGCGCCATCCGCCACCTCGGGCATAAGAACTCCTAAACCCCTTGGGGGGGGGGGGTGGCTCCTACTAGGCAACTTGAAAGGTGGCTAGAAAAAGGGTAAGTACTTCCCTTACCTTCGGACGCGCCTGCCTCTAGGGTCTGGTTCGCGCAGATGGAGCAGTCGGCATTCTGCAGATCGAGGCCATGGCCGCCCGTGACGGCTTCCATGAGAAGGGCCGCTGCAGGGCTGAGCTGCATGCAACCTGCGGCCAGGATGCTGGAAGCCGGGTCACCTGCAGGCTTTCCCGGACATTCAGGTGGAGGGTTTTAAGGTTTTGGGGACCACATTCTGCGGATCCTTTCAAGGGGGATTCTGCTATTTGGTCGGAGGGATAAACCCTAAAACCCAAACCTCAGGCCCTAAACCCTAAACCCTAAACCCTAAACCCTAAACCCTAAACCCTCCCCCGACCACAATCTTTTCCAAACTCCTTCACCTGCTGCATTCCGAATCAGCAGCTGGGAGCCAGGTTCGAGCCGCACCTGGTGGGTTTCGGGTTTAGGGTTTGGGCTTAGGGTCACTTACATATATGTGTACATAGTTCATATATTTATTTATTTATTTATTTATTTATTTATTTATTTATTTGTTTATTTATTTGTTTGCTTATTTACTTATGTATTTGTTTTTTTTGGTATTTATATCTCTATTCATTTTTCTTTTTATTTCTTTTTTATTTTTCTAAAAAATCTATATACATATGTATAGGTATATACTGAACAAGAAGATCAGCAAGAATGTTACCTGGGGAAGCCCTGCTTACTTAAAGAAGACACCCCCACCTGACCCTGTGCCCTGCCAGCCACAGCTGTCCCATTCGCAGTAGCGTTGCTGATGACCATCGTCCCGTCCAAGACCAGCGCGTCGCGAGCCCAAAAGCCACCTGCATGGGGCTTTGAAAGCCAAGGGGGGTTCGGGTTTCGGGCTTTGCGCTCCGAGTCACAAGTTCGTGTCCGTGCCGACCCAAACACTCAGGAGAACCACGCAAGCCTCCATCATGGCCCGCTGCAACGTTCCGCAGGTTCGCAGCAAAGTCGCCTCGTAGAGTGGCGTTGGCTACGTAGATTCCGCCACCAGCTCGTGCTGCAGAAGCCCCGGAGACGTTGAGGGTGGAGGCATCAACAAGAAGCCGTTCTCCAACGTGAAGGCCTCCTCCCGTGTATCCAGCTGTGGCATTCTGGATGTTGATGGATGAGTCACCGGTCATTAGAAGGCTTGACAACCCGCATCCTCCACCATCTCCTTTGATGGCTCTGCTGTCGCGAGTTTCCAACAGGGCTTTGTCCGAAACCACGACCGTGCCGGACGCGGCAAGCCCCCCCCCAGATAGTGTGGCCACAGCATTCTGAATGCTGAGGGAGGAACGAGTGGTAATGACCATGACTTCTGAATCCTCAACTTTCGAAGAGCCTAAAAGGCAACCGCACACGTACACGCCTCCTCCGTTCTTTCCAGCTGAAGCAGTTTGGACGACCACGGTCGAAGACTCGCTCAAGCTCAACTTCGCAGCAAGCAGCCCGCCACCAGAGCCTTTGAGAGCATGGCTGTCAGAAATCCACACTCTGGAGTGGCTGGCGACCTCCACACCATCCCTTGCCGTGAAACCCCCGGCATCCACCAAGGCTTTGGTTTCTCTGACTCTGATTATGGACCCCTGGCTCACCTGCAGGCTTCCTGTCCAGAAGCCGCCTGAATGCCCTGCCACGGCCACACACTGAGAAATCGACATCCGGGACTGCAACGTGACGGCCAAGGCAGAAGCGTAAAGCCCCCCCGCAGATGTCTTGACGGTGGAATTCCCCACTTCGACCGCTGAGCCGTTGGATACCAAGAGCTTTCCGCCGGCACGGATGCCTCCGCACGAGTCGGCGACGCCGTTCTGAATCGTGATATTTGAGCTGCCAAGGACGGAAACATCACCTTCAGTGTATAGTCCTGCCCCAATATTCCCGGCTGCAACATTGTCCATGCGAACTGATGAGTTGGCAACCACCCGCACTGGCACGCCAATCTTCATCACTGTCATCTGAACCATGAAGCCTCCGCCATTTCCCGCTGTTGCAATGCAGTTCCGGAAAAAAAGCCTGGAATCTCTGGCCACTAGCACCGGTCCATGTGCCTCAAAGCCTCCAGCCTGTGCCGCAGCTACAGCATTCTGAACGCTGATCTCCGAGCCGTCGGCAACTTCCACAGCACCGCCAGAATAGAAACCGGCAGCTCGTCGACCACTCGTGACATTCTGGATCCTGATTGCAGAGCTCTGTGTCGCTTGCACTCCGCCAGCGCTGTGAAAGCCTCCTGCATTTCCTTTGGCGGAACACCTCCGGATGCTCACCGTTGCATCGTGAAGCTGTAAGCTCTTTGTGAACAAGCCCCCTCCCCAGGTTGCGAGACCGTCAGAAACTGATATCCTGGAGCGGCTGCTGGCCACAGTCTGTCCGTTCGGTGCATGAATCCCACCACCACCACCAGAACCTGCTGTTGCATTGCGAATCACGATACTGGAAGAATTGAGAACTCGCACATCTTCATAAACTGAAATGGCTCCTCCATTCTGTGCAGCTGACGTGTTCCGAAGCCTGAGCATAGATCCGTCAAGCAGCTCTAGCGTGGTTTGAAGCAGCATCCCTCCCCCAGATGATTTGAGAGAATGGCCATTGAGAATCGTCAGCACGGACCTGCCAGCAACCATCACTTTGCCAATCGCAGCAAGTCCTCCCCCCTCCTCATGGGCGGCAACATCTCGAAGGTAAACCTTTGATCTCCCGGTGACGACCACCGCCTCGGACTCTGGCTGAGCCACTCCATTGCGCAGGGGCCTGGCATAGACACCACCTCCCTGACGCGTAGCTGAAGCCTGCTCGATGCTGATTTCTGCACCCGATGCCCGGAGCCGTCCTACGTAGAAGCCCGCTCCAAAGCTCGCCTGAGCCTTAACGACTGCCAGCCTGGATCGGGCGATGGTGACATCTGCCCAGGCGGCAAAGAACCCAGCACCCTGGTCGGCCATGGCACTTTCAATCGTGACCGAGGAACCTGAGATGTTCACAACCTCTCCCTCCGCTGTGAAGCCTCCTCCAGAAACCATCGCCGAGCAACGGGCAAGTCGGATGGAAGCATCGGACACATGCAAGCCAGCTGCGGCGAAGCCTCCACCCAATTGCGCCCGGCCTTCCAACACTGTGACTTCGGAACTCTCTGAAATCACGACGCGTCCGCGCGCCCCGAACCCTCCGCCGCTACTCTCCACCCTGGCGTCTGCAATCATGAGCTTCGAGCTGTTGGCAACAACCACCACGTCTTGATCTGCCAATGTCGAGCTACAGCCACATGCAAAAAAGCCACCCCCTGAGATTCTGGCCGACGTTGCCTGAATGGTTACCTCTGCCCTATCCAGCACCAGCTTTGAAGCGTAGACACCGCCTCCTGAGCCCGTAGTATGGCTTTCCGAAATGACGATGCTTGAACGGCCGGCAACGAGAACTTCCCCACGCTCGGCCCACAAGCCACCTCCCGCGGAACCTGCCTTTGCGCTCAGGATGTGGACGGCAGATTTGTTTGTTACGTTGACTCCCTTGCCTTTTCCGGCAAGTGCCCCACCCTTTATGGCTGAGACGTTCTGAGCTCTGATCACCGATCCGTCCACTCGCAAGCTGTCAAAAGCCAGAGCACCGCCGGCTCCTTTCACCGAGTGGCTGTTGGCGATCGTCAGCTGAGACCTGTCACCCACGAGGAGCCCAAAGGGAGTGTAGATCCCTCCTCCATGTGCCTCGGCCGTGGCGTTCTCGACGTCGACCCTCGAGCTGTGAAGCACCACCACCTCTCCCGCCAGAGCGTCGATGCCGCCTCCTCTCATTCCTGCTCGGGCTCCCCGCACACGCACGGTCGAAGAGTCCGTAATGAGTACACTCTTGTTGCTGGCGATGCCACCACCATGTCTCAGGGCATCCGTGGCATCGAGGTCGACCCGGGCATTGGCCACGATCACGCCCCCGTATGCGAGGAAACCCCCTCCTGAGAGCGCGCGAGCTTGCTACGCGGAGACTGCCAGGGAAAGCCTCATTCGGAGATTCTATAAGCTTCGGGGAAGCAAAGTGCCTAAACCCTCTGAACCCTAAACCCTAAACCCCCAAACCCTGAAGCCAAAACCCGGACTGTGTCTGTTCCTGCACTCAGGCGGTCTCCTGATCCCGAAGCTCTGGTACGCCGAACTTGGATCAGCGACCTCTCCTCGCCAACATCACTCACTTGACAGACATGGAGTGACTTCTCTCAAGTCTGGTCCCTTTCTTGGGGGGTCCTTATTATCAGGCGGCCCCTCTTTTTTAGGGTGCCCCAAAAAGCGACCCTAATTTAGAGAACTGGCCATGTCGAAAGGCATCTAGATCGCAGCCTGAGTCTATAGGCGGCCAAGTTGTCATGGATCGTGCCAATCCCTGGCCGACTGTTTCAGAAGCCCCATGAGTCCTAAATACCCCTGCAACCTCAGCCCACTCAACGAAAGCCGGAACCCAACTGATGACGTCGACTCAATTTTTCTCTTCTCCAGCCGTGCAAAAGTTCAGGCTTTAGGCTTTTGATCTCGGCCTCGGTATTTATGCAGATCGGGCGGGAAAAGGATCGGGAAAGTGGATGCCTATAACATCCTTCCTGCAAACATCTATGCAAGACCGCTGCTCGGCGTCACTATGAATTCAGGGCCACTGCCAAAGCTGCTCAGAAAGCAATGAGGTGAGACCAGTTAAGCAAAACTTCCCCCAAAAAAAGGAAAAGCAAAATCAAAAAAACTGACCATGGTTGAGGGCTTCCTTCCGGCCTCATGTTTGGCCATATTTTGTGTAAAGATCCTTGTCAGGGAGGACCATAAACCCTAAACCCACAAATCATGAGCTGGGGTCCTTGACGTCAACCTCCCCCTGCGCCAGCAAGCCTCCGCCGTTCTTCGACGAAGTGGCCCCTTCGATGAAGATGGTGGACTGGCCACGAAGTCGCCTTGTTTAGACCCTGCACCAATCCCGAAGCCCTGAGGCTTATGACTTGAAAGGAACCGCTACAGACGCCAACCCCTGATGTCTGGAGGCTTCAGGCACCACGCGGCCCTTTTTGAAAAGCTCTTGCGTTTCAGCCAAGCTGAAGAGATCCCGCGCCGAACCTAGAAGCACTGAATACATTGCGGTGCCTGGTGCGCAACATGTCCAACGGCATTCCCCTTGAGGGTGCTTAGTCGCAGAAGCACTTCACGAAGCTCTTGCTTTATCAATCTTGACCTCTTAAGGATTCGAAAACGATGCCCATGTATCGCCCTGAACACGATCCCAAAGTCCGAGCTTAAACCCTGAACCCTAAACCCTAAAACCATACAATCCCTACCTCCGAAGACCCCGCCCACATGAAATCCATGGAGACGCAGACATGCCAAGCCCGGCCGTAACCCGCAAGGCTCTCGAGAGGGACTGTCGGGGTTTGTGGGCTAGGGTCTATAGAGGATTTATAGGGTTTCCAGGTCTTAGAGGGTTTAGAGGGTCTATCAGGGTTCAGGGTCTGAGGCTTAGGGTTGAGTAAACGCTAAACCCTAAACCCTAAACCCTAAACTCTAAGCTCCAAACCCTGCTCATATGCTCTTCTCAATGCTGGCCGGGCTTCAGCGACCCCGCGGCGAAGAGGGCGCCGCCCTCCACAGCCGCCGTGCCCACGACGTGGAGGCTTGAGTTTGCCGCGAGAACAACGTCCTGGGGCAGTCAAGGCACTGGAGTCGACTTGTTTGGACGGGCTTGCGGCTGTTGCGCGGGGTGCGGTGGGTCTATGGGGCCTCTCGGTGTCGGCAGCTTCGGGGATTGTTGCGCGCAAGGACGGCTCAATCTTGCATCCGAGCAGAACCATTTCTTTGGACGTGTGTATCCCAATGGTTCCTTACTTGGGGTTCCCCTATGCAGCTGAGCGGCACCCCCAGCAGCACAACCACCACCCTGCAGCGCCCTGCCTCCCATCACCTGAGGCGCTTCTTGAGGTTTAGGGTTCAGGGTTCAGGGTTCAGGGTTCAGGGTTTAGGGTTTAGGGTTTAGGGTTTAGGGTTTAGGGTTTAGAGTTTCGGGCTCAGGGGTTAACACCTCAGCGTACTACTTTAAAGCGATCTCCCACCAATGACCGACACAGGGCACAGGGTTCGCTATCCTTGCCCAAACCTAAACGGCAAACCCCAGGCGCTAAACCCCCTGAACATGAACATGAAACTCCAAACCCCAAACCCTGAACCCTGAGTCGGGTGGACCTGAAGTTCGCCGGAACTCCCACGACGCGTACGAAGAGTAGGAAACTCCCCTAGTCATGTTAAAGATCCCTATATCACAGTTTGTGGTGCCTTTCTTGATCACGGGGTGCACTGGGTCACGAACCGAGCGGCCGTCACGTTGGACCTTGCAAGAGTGGTTGAGCTCCTGCTTGAGAACGTACCTCCCAAGCCCCCGTTGCTCTCGGAGGTCACACTCTGCTGGGTCGTCACCTGCGCGTCTTCGAAGGACAGCTTCCTTAGCAAATCGTGGAAACTGCGCAGCAACAAAGCCTTGCAAGGCACCGTGAGAAAAATTCGGGCCCTTATGCCCTGCTACACAAGTACAAGATTATGCAAGATGAGGCGCTCCGCTTCAAAGCGCAGCGACATGGCCAAGATGTGCCCTGCAATCACTAAGTCACCTTCTGTTTGTACCGTTGTAACGCGTGGCCCATTGCCAACAAGCAGTGCAGGCTCTGCACTGCGGCTCGGCCCCTCCAAACGGCAAGCGTGCGCAGGTTGCGGCCTCAGCCGTGCCACGGAGGTTGCACCAGAAAACAAGTTGTATCATCAGATGCTTCAAGTGATGTAGTGCGATCACATCAATCTACTTGCTAAAGTACTTTGTTGCGACAAGCGCCGAAAGTTCGGTTTCAGGCCTTCTGCCTTGACTCGCATTGCTACATCGCATGACAGACACAACCCGCCCTGTCGTCCTTGCATGCACAAATCGCCCCATGCCCTCCAACCATGATCTGAGCCAACTTTCTATGAATCCATCATCCCAAAACACAATTCGCCACATCCGAAGTCCTGAGCTGCATGAGAGCTGAGGCACTGGACGAGGAAACACTCCCCGGCTCTCAGCTGTCGGCTGCACAAGTCGTGCCACTCAGCTGCCACACAATCCTCTCCAGGCACGGTTTAGGGTTTAAGGTTTAGGGTTTAGGGTTCAGGGTTTAGGGTTTAGGGTTAAGGGTTCAGGGTTTAGGGTTGAGGGTTTAGGGCGTGCCAAACGGAAGCGCGCTTTGGGAGCGCGCGGTAGTCTGCAAACCTGCCCACCCCAAGACCGCCCACTTACAACTCTCAAGGAGTTAAGACCTTTTATTGTTTAGGGGACCTCCACAAGGTGCGTGGACCAGGCACAAAGCTGCAGCAGACGGAAAGGCGAGGCAGGGTCAGCGAAAACAGCTTGGGTTGGCGCGAAGGGGCTATGGCCAGGGATGGGCCAGGAACAGACAAAGGCAGGGCTAAAGCCAGGGAGGCAAGGCCAGGGAACACAGGCAGTGAACAGCTTGGCTTGGCGCGAGTGGACAGCTTGCGCCACGGAAACAGGGCAGGCCTGGACCAGGCACAAAACTGGTGTGCGGACAGCTTGGCTTGGCGCGAAGGGGGTAAGGTGACAGGGTGCCAGGCCAGGGCCAGGACCAGATGCAGGGCAAGCCAGGCCAGGGCCAGGGCCACGGGCCAGGGCCAGGGCCAGGGCCAGGATCAGGTCAGGGCCAGGGCCAGGGCAGGGCCACACAGGCGGGCCAAAGCCTTGCCTGCCCCAACAAAACGGCGCCTGGTCCCTGCAGGTAATATAATATAATACAGTGACAACTGCTGACTCGGCCAGGTCGGTCGCCCGCCTGGGTTTCTCTTGCAGGGTCTCACTGAGCGCTCGACCAGCGCCCGCCTACCCCAAAAGACAAGAGAGTGGGGTGGCGGGCGGGTTTAGGGTTTAGGGTTTAGGGTTTCCGTGGTTCGGGGTCTGGGGCCAACTTCCGGCGCTCGGGGCATCTAGGGTTTCAAACTCAGGGCAGGGGCAACACACCTCGACCGCAACACCTCAACATAAGCCCCAGAACATTGTCCTTTGATTGCGATTCAAAATGCACGCATGCGGGGTAGCTCTTCAACTTTGCATTCCCTTCCTGGGGGTCCTTTTTGTCAAGAATGCACACTACATGGAGACCCTTTTCTTAGACAACCACCCACATGCATGTGTGCTCGAATGCTGGTAGAATGGAAGAGCCATACCCGCTCTGCAACGTCCGGGGTGCCTCCTGGGGTCTCAGGTTCTTCCTCCATGGGAACTTTCATAACAAACTCCTCTTCCTACGATAAACAGGAACCCTAAACCCTAAACCCCTGAATCCCCTAAAGCCCCAAGCTCAAACTCTAAGCTCCTGAACTAAACGATCCGAAAACTTAAACCCAAGCCCTATAGACCCTTAAACCTTTTTTTTGCCGTAAACCGCTGTAATCTCGCATGCGAATCGAGCATGTAAACCCCTAAGCCCTAAACCTCAACCTTCAGCCCGAAACCCTTGAAACCCTAGCCTGAACCCTGAAAGCCAAAAGGGCCCAACCCGAAACCCCGCAAAACTGTGGCCTGTAGACGTCTTGACCAATGCAGCGCAGGCACACGCGCCTTCGCAAGGCCTCGCAGCTCAGGGCTTAAGGTGCAGGGTTTGAGGAGGGAAGGAGGGGGTCAAAACCTCTCAAGGACGGCTCTACGCAGGGCGACAAATGCCCGCTGTACTTACTTACGGCTGTCATTTAGGGGAGATCGGTCCAAAGCATGCGAATATCCCATCAACAAGGGATCCTTTCTACGTGTTTTTGTTGGGACACTCTTCTGAACAGAACACAAGAAAATAGAATAGAATACGATATAATGAAGATATGAAAGCGGCCCAGTCACGTGATGTGTCCAAAGAAAGATTCCCGGCAGACGTGCAAAGTAATGCCACCACAACCAAGGCCCCAAGCAACTTCAAGCTCCGCGGCTGGGGATGGCCCGGCTTCCTCCCCATCCCCTCGGAAAATCGGGGGTGCTGCCGCAGGCTGCCGCAGTATGGGCCTCTTGTGGGCGAAGATCCTAACTACAAACCTCCAGAGAGAATAGGGCGTAGCTCGTGGCCACCATGTGTGTGCATTGCGGAATGAGAGCAACCACCGGCTTTGTGGGCACAGCGCCTAGAGCCTAAAGGCCTGCGCGCATCTTTTGACTGTCCTGTAAATGGCACGGAAAGTGCACTGTACTGAAAAAAATGCTCATGACAGTCGATTATGTTGTTTTGCAGCAAAAATTTTTTAATGTAATCTATTTTCGATTAGGGCACAAGGGTGCGCACGCCCATGTTTCTTTTTCGATAACTTCAGGGTTTAGGGTTAGGGTTTAGGGTTTAGGGTCTAGGATTTGGGATTTAGGATGTAGGGTTTAGGGTTTAGGGTGTAGGGTTTAGGGTTCAGAGTTTAGGGTTCATGGTTCAGGGTTTAAGTTCAGGTTGTTGTGTGTTCGGGCATCGGGCTTCAAGGTTTAGGGTACACATCCTTCGGGGGTCATGGGGTTTGCTCATGTCTCCGACTTATTTTAACTGACTGTCAAACAAAAAGCACACAGCTGTTTGCCTTTACACGGCCCACTGCATGCCCTTCTTCGGACTGAATGCCCTCAACCCCAACACAACGTTTAGGGTTTAGGGTTTAGGGTTTAGGGTTTAGGGTTTAGGGTTTAGGGTTTAGGGTTTAGGGTTTAGGGTTTAGGGTTTAGGGTTTAGGGTTTAGGGTTTAGGGTTTAGGGTTTAGGGAGCCCTTTTGCCTTATATAAGCCCTGAAGTAAACCGTAAACTGGGGCTCGGCTGGAACTGCTGGAAGGCTCTGGGCGAAAAGTCGGGTCCAGCAAGACATGGGAGAAAAAAACGGGGGGTTTAGGGTGTATGGCTCAGCTAGCAAGGGTCATTTTTCAGTTCAGCCTAAACTCAACCTACAGACCCCCCCCCCCGACCCCGCGCACATGCACGCGGTTTTACACTCTTTCTCAAACAGCCCATCTCAGAAGCTCACTAAATCTGTTCCGCACAATCTCTTACCAAACCACAGCCACACCATTGCAGCAGTCAACAAAACCCCGACACGCATCCGAGATGCAACCCTCAGCTAAAGCCAGCTCGAAAATCGTTACCCTAAGCCCTAAACCCTAAACCCTAAACCCTAAACCTATAGGGTTCTACAACTCCCGAGTAGCCTCAACTCGGACATGATGCGAGGCTGCCAACGTGTAAGCCCCCAACCTTCGAAACCTGGCACCGACTTTACAACCCTAAACCCTAAACCCTAAACCCTAAACCCTAAACCCTAAACCCTAAACTACGCCTGGCATGAATCGGCGATGAAATGCTTTCACGGCCAAGTGCGCAAAAACTCACCGGCGCATCTATTCTACCATTTCATTCGCAGACTTGAAGCCAGATTCAATGCTCATGTACCTTCAATCTGCCTGCGTTCATGCTGCTATCTAACTTCTTCAGCCATTGGAACACGCTCCTCGTGTTCGACCGCATATTCGTGTGTCCTTTGACTTGTGCCGCGGATTTTCCGACGAGAGATCACCTCCCTCGACCGATGATGTCGACAGGTTCGGTTGAAAGTTGCTTGAATTGTAGGAGCTTGTGCTCGCCGAGTCCAAATACGGAGGCTTCAGCTAAGTACTCTACTCAGAGAACGCCTGCTCATACAATCCACGCAAACGATCCATCGCTTCACATCTTCCAGTGAAGAACGCCTCGTTGTCAAGAAGATCTAGGTCGTCCTCGTACTGCTGTAGGATTATGTGGCAAAAGGTAGTGGTCAGTATCTCGTACAAGAAGACGTCTAGTTCGACGGTGTACATGTTTGTCAATCCCGGCATGTATTTTTGCCTCTCCCGCTCGGACATCAGCGACAGATCATGCATCAAGTCACTTCCAAAGCATGAATTTTCCCAATCAACCAGCTCCTGCATTACCGTCAGGAACAAATTGATTGCTCCATGCCTCATAGGTGTCCCTCCCTGCGCCAGCCGAAAGCGCCCATTGCTTGCCACTCTCCAGGTGATTGCATCAAGCAGTATTCCTTTTGGTCGGTATCTCTTCGGCAGAAAATGCCTCAACCCTCGGGCAGCAGCCTTTGCTGCTCGCACGTCATCAAAGAAGGCGTTGATCCCAGCAGAATTTCGATAGAAATCGCGCCCTCCACGAAGTGCAGGGAACATTTCAGGCCTATCCCTCCACAGCACAAGATCGAAGTCCATTGTCCAAATTCGGAACTTGATTGCCACGTTGCCAATTGTGATGTTTGAGACAAGCTCCAACTTTTTCAGCTCATGCGCTACCTTTTTTTTGTCGGAGTCCGTAAATGGTACATTGGCACGACTACTCTTGGCATCTCTCGAAACTTGAATGTCGACGTCGAGGTCGATGTTTGACCAGCCGCATGTCGCTCGAGCTCGAGACCCTACAGTTTCAAGAACGACATCGTTACCAAGGGCATTCCGGCATGCTTGCTGCAGGTCGGAGTAGATTGCGTCGTCTAGCTGGTAGTTACCTGAAGTATCCTCGCAGATCTCTGTCAAAATGTTAAAGCAATCTACCATCATATCCACATGCGAGTCCACTATGCGCTTCTTGTGTTCTGGCGAGCATTCGATCCACTTCTTTCGGTGTTTTTCAACCACTGGGGCTGCACGAGAAGCAATCCAGCATTCTTTGGAAGCCCTGTTGAGAATGAGCCCATACCGCGGTAGCAGCCTTGAGTACTCCGCCCATTCTTCGATCGCCTCGCCGAGAACACGCATGTAGCGTGGGACTACCTTTCTTTGCGGTAACAGCACACTTCGCACATCCACAAGCTGCCGAACTACAAGCAGCGACCAGCACAGGACAATGCTGCAACCACGGGCAAAGCCGCGCTTGATCATCCCCACCGGTAGCGAAGTCCAATGCGTCAAAATTTTGAATACTGGGAGTTCATGTAAAGTTCTGTGTAACGGGAAGTCGTTTGGGATGCGGGTCTTGTGTCCGGGAACTTTCTTTGCACGCGGAAGCTGTCGTTAGTTGAACCATTGCTACGTGCATCTTCTCAAGACAAGGGTGCTCGAAGTAAGAGCAAAGAAACATTATTGCACATCCGGACATTGACAAACCTGCAACGCCTGTACAAGCTTGAGCTAAGCTTGAGCCGCTCCACGGAAGCGGAGTCGTTGCAAAGCTTATCATCGATCCGCGCAATTTTCAAGCGCAGCAGTCTTCGAAATCAACACCAGCATGCAACTTTTTCCCGCGCATACAACAAGAACATGCAAGCTTGCACTCGCGCAGGTGACAAACTCATGGCTGAAAGGCTCCCAAACAAAGTGCTGTGGATTCTGGCAAGGCCATTGTCGTCACAGGCTTGTCTTCAACACACCCTTATAATCTTGTGGCGAATGAACCCCCAAACTACCCAAACTTCCTAGAGATCTTGGTCTGTACTCACTCTACTCTTTACATAGGTCTAGAACCAAAGACCCTGAGAGTGCAACAGGTAAACTACCCGGTCCGTCTCATTAAGGCCCTCCTCGGGAGAAAGTTTTGAGTGTCGAAAGTGTCCAGTTTTCGGGGTTGAAGATTTGATGTTGCTTAGATAAACATTCGGGGACATTGGATTTACTCCAGAAAGACTTCTGCATGGAAGCGATCAGAACTCACAGAAACTCAAAGCAAAACAGGTCAAAACCCTAAACCTGAAGCCTCGAAACCTTGTACGTCGCGAGTATCAAACCCGAAGCGTGTAAAATCTTGGCCTGAAGATCGCCACAAGGCGCCCAACCAAGGGGGGTCCTTCTACCATCGCCTAAATCCTAAACTCCAAACCTCTAAAACTTAAATAGACTCTGTAAGGTCACAACATCGGTCTGGAACAGCACCTCGTCTATCGGGTTTAGCCAGGCAACCTTGGATCATCAGCCAAGAAGCCCTACAACCTTCAAACCCAACACCCTAAAGCTCGAAGACCTTTTTGACGGACTTCGAGAGTTCTGAAATCACTTCAGGCCCTTGGCTGTGAATGTGTTTAGAGTTAGCGTTCTGGGGGATCTAGGGCTCTGTACATGCTTACTTGAAAAGGCTTCATTTCGTCAAACGTTTATCACCAGAAAGATCTCTGGAGCGGAGCGTGGAGTGTGCAGGCGTGGAGGCGTGGAGGTGTGTGGAGGTGTGTGGAGGTGTGTGGAGGTGTGTGGAGTCGGCATCATAACATGCCTCACTTCAGCCTGACTCTGGGCATTGGAGTGAGTTCCTGGCTTGTCTATCGAGTGTAGGGTGTGAATGGAGGATGCGTGGACTTACTAGGCCTTGGAACCTTTGCTGGAGGGCTGCCGATAACGCTTGCGGAGGCTCCCTGATACCCGTGCCATCCATCCACTCACTTTGTCTCACCCTTGACAGGCGACCATGATGCCATTGTGCTTGACAACATCCGCAACTTACAACTCTTGCTTAATCACCAGTAAAAAGTCCTTATACGACTGCTGGTCAAGTTTGGTTCAACCGCTGGAGGGACTTGCGCCTTCCTGTTGACCTTTTCGGGGTGCCTGTTGTGGCCACAACTGACCCAGAACCTAGCGTTCTTGACAACCATGACTGGTTGGCAAATCCTGGCCTGCGCAGAACAACCGAAGGGAAGCGTCCTAGTCCTTTGGACTATCTCCTCGTGCAACCTGTCTATTGCTGTGGTACTATTGTTGCTGTCAAAGTTCCACAAGTTGAAACTGCGTGCGGCGTACAGCAAACAAGTCTGCCACAACATTCCACCTAAAGGTAACTGCCAAGCAGCGCCACCTTCTTCAACAGGTCGTCGACGCTTTATCTCCGCCTCTAGGTCGAGCCATATCGACCAAAATCCCTGCTTCATCGCAGAGACCTGTCTTTCCACAGCACCTTTAGACTGCGGACGGTATCCTGGCACAACATCTACAATCGTAGGGTTCTCGCGCCTGCCTCTGCGCCGCGACCCTCTCGCACATGGATATCAGACCCTGTTCGTTATCGCACCGAAACGTTAAAGTCTTTTGGCGCAATCCAATTTCGCGGATAAACCGATCGATATTGAATAACAAATTCGGGTCGTGTAGTTCCATTGCGGGGATAGACATTGAGTACCGGGACGCAACATGGATGAGAAGAAGAACCCTCAGTTTCCCAAAATTATAGAAATCGACCCCAATGGTTTGATTCTCCTTCTGTAGCTGCCTCTTCAGTCTCCTGGCCGGGACTTTTCCTTTACTGGAGCAGCAGCTTTCGCAGTTCACATCATAGGGAAAATGACCTCGGGATCTATGTACCTGAAGTGCATGGCTTCGCAAAGGAATCCTTTCTTCAACCTCCTCTCCTTGTGGAATTGGGGCTTCAAGAGGTTGTTCCGGGTTTTGTGGGGAACGATTCGGTTGCTTTGAGGAAGACGATGGTTCACCATCATCACGGTCCAAGATTAAGGGATCAGAGCCTGTGCCACTTCCTGGAAGGGGCAGCCCTCTGAGCATCCGCAGATGCCCAGTCACTGGCTGCTTTAAGCCTCCTTCCGGCACTCTCTCATCATTTCCCTTCAACACAAAGCATGCCACATCAAGACACCATGCCAAAACATGCCACACATGCCGCAAACAAGCCAACAACTTTAAGGTTTTTGGCTTTCCTTTAGTTGGGGCTTTTGGGCTTTTCCTACCAACCAACAAGATTCGTTCTACGCAAACGCGCTTGAAGCATTTTCGGGTGCGAATACGAATCCAACAAACCCCGCGTCGGGGCTTTATTCTACTCATCTCAGGGGTTCTCTTGGAGCCTCTCTGAAACATCCTTTTCAGCAATTTCCAAAGACCCGAAATAACGACCCCACCCAAGGCACTGAAGATCAGGATGATGAACACCATCGCGAAGTCGATGAATACTCCTGGAAATTTAGCGGACCGCCTGGCGTGGATGCGGAACGGGGTTCTTTCTACTAGGGACTTTGGACCTCCAAGTTCTACTAGGGGTCCGACCACTAGATGCTCTTTACCTGCTGGGGCCTCAAGGCTAATGTTCCCAAGCCAAAATGTTTCCATGCCACAACAAGTCAGGCATGCCAAGCTCAAGTCACTCCATGCCAAGGTTCCATGCCACACAAAATCAAGAACATGCACAAACCCATGCGCTGCAAATTGTTTTCTCGGCTTCAGGCTTTCGGGCAAAATAACAGGTCGGCCCTTTGTCTTTGACAAATCGATCACAAGCCCGGAGGAGCCGGGGGAAACGAACTGCTCCAATCTCGGAGCTGGCTCTGCGAAACAGCTATCGTCTCTCTTACACTGGCAAAGATCGATGCAAGCTCTGGATTTGGTGGAATCCGCCGTGGGGACCTCGAGCGCCCTGGCGAAACTGACACTCGGCTTTCCGGAGTCGGAGGCACAGACCGCGGAGTAGGCGGCATACCAGCCTCTGAAGGATCCAAAAGCCCCCAGGCTTCGAAGTTGCTTTCTCCAGAGACCGACGCCGGAGGTCGTGGAGGAAGTCGAAACGGAGGAATAGGTGGCGGTGTAGGGACCGCCAACGGTGGAACCAATGGAGGCGCCGGAGTTCCCACTGGCTCCCCAGGCACAAGGTGGAGGTTCCAATAATCGGCCCCCGTGACTTCTCGGGGCTCCGATGGCTTTCCCCGAAGCTCGTTGAGGATACTCCGCCCCATCCATCCAAGGTTCTCGTAAGAAGATCTCAGAACGGACAGCCCACCTGAGGAGGACGACTCCGAATCGCTTCCACCGTCTGGAGGTCGGGGCGCGGGCAGCTTTCGAGGACGCCCGATATTCCTCCAGGGAGTAATGCTCCTTGGCCTCGTCCTTTATCACATTCCCAATAATTTCCCAGATGCACTTTTGGATCCACATCGGAGTAGTTTCCGACGTCACCCTTTCCGCATGGCCAATGTCGTACTTCTCGTGGTTCTCCTGGTACAAATTCACCAATCCAAGGAGGTACAGGACAAAGGTGTGGCCCTGCTGAGGGGGGTACGACATCGGGAGCAACTTGGGGTGCACGGACTTGTTGGAGGTCAAAGATTCCCCTAGCTGATCCACAACGAGGGTAATGACCTTCAAGTTGCATCCAAAATCCACGGTCGAAGCAGCCTGGGTAAGTTGGGAAAGGATCTGCGCGTGGTGGTCCTCCAATTCGGTGGTGAGCACAGCCTGGTCCATACGACGGGAAGGCAAGTTCAAGTAGTCGTCGTGCTCCATAAACGGAGGATCGGCCAACTTTGGCTTCCCAAAATACAGCAGCCCGTGACTGTAACACGGTGACATACTGCTGTGGTATCCAGGAGGTACTCCAACCACCTCTTCCTCGCAATCCTTGGGATGAAGCGGGATCACATCGGTTCTCCCGGCAGCCATTCCAGCTAAATAGCCGGGCTCTCCCAAGCGACTCAGCTCGTTGAGAAAATCGACCGACCCGTAGATCCCGTGGGCCAATGGCGCAGGTTCGTTTCGCTCCATGTGGAGCTGATAAACGGACTCCTGGCCGTTCTCGCGGTAAATTTGCCGCTGGAGCCGACAAAACGCCTGGAATCCAATTGTCTTGGGAACTTTCCAGCCTCCCCAATCCTCCTCGCCATCCGAAACAGAGGTTGGCACCAAAGCAATCTTTCGAGCACCCATGGCTCTCTCTGCTGCTTCTGCCAAAGCTTCTCTGGCTTCCCCATCCGACATTTCGAAGGACGAGGTCGACGAAGAGCTCTCTGAGGAGTCGGGCCTCGGGGCCAAAACTGGAGCCGATGCCATCTGTTGGCGTTGCTGGAATTCCGCCAAAGACATACGCTCCAATTCCTCCGCCTCGCGGATCTCCGGGTAAAACTGCGGCGTATCGCTTCTCGCCGGGGAAGGCGTTTGACCGCTCCTCCGGGGAGCGT